ATAAGCCAAAAAATATGACGGCTGTCTAAGTTAAAAACCAAATTTCTTTCTTAGACGGGGATGCAGCCAAGGATAAAAAAGTTACACTCTTCTAAATTTTCAAGCTTTCGAAACTATATTTTGTTTCTTTATCAGGAAAAAACTACAATAGGATACAAGTTAAAATTTTCTTATAAAATAGTCAATTAAAATTACTTACTATGCAAGAATTACATTGAAGTTAGCCAACATACCTACAGCGGACATAGGTCGTCAATACAATTAATTAAAAACATCACAGGTTGAAAAACGGAAAATTGTACAAATATCAAAATTTTTAAAATTCATAACAACGGTAGACTATAGCCGAAATCAAACAAAATGAACAATGTCGCCTGTCTTTTATGTACGAATATCAGATAAGGAGGAAAAAAGTGAAAAAATATAAAAGTTTTTGTTCCCTTAATACTTATACGGAGAACGGGGAAACTCCAAACCAAAAATTTTTAAACTGTTAATTAGTATTATTATTAAACAAAAATAACAACAAAGGTCACATACCACTATACAGGGTGTCGCCTGAAAGGCTGTCCCTGTTATTAAAATATTGATTTAATAAAAAAGTATAAATTACGCTGAGACCATCGATATCAGTCATTGCATTCATTGGATTGCTTTCCCTTGCAATATGACACATCTCTAAAAATTTTCTTTTTTTATGGTTTGTTTCTGAATCTAATACTAAAATTTCGTCATAATTCATACTATGTCCAGAGGATAAACAATGATTTGCCAACATGCAACTGTGTTTATTCAGTCGTATGTCACTTTTATGTGCTGTAACTCTATCTTTTAGTTTTTGTTTTGTTTGACCTATATATTTCAAATCACAATCCATACATGGGATGCAATAAACTACACTGGACCGCTGCAATAGCGAATCTTTATCTTTTAATTTAGTGAAAAGATTATTAACCGTTAAATGATTTTTAAAGGCCAACTTGACACTACCTTGTCCAGACAAACATTTTTTTAATTTGGAAGAAACAGTACCCAAATGTGGTACTGAAAAATACTGAAAATTTTGTATTCTTGAATTATTGTTACGAAAGTCTTGAACACCCTGTAACTGTGATCTCGAGAACAAAAGACTTTTAAGAAGAGGAGGTGGATAACCACATTTAATAAATAAATTGTACAATTGTTGTAAATTAATGTTTTTAAGTGAATGATGACTTGTAGCTATTACTCTAGTTCTCATACCCAAAATCAAATTGATTTTTTGTTGTTGTGTGTGGAAAGACTCATAATGTAAAAATCTGCCTGATGATCCAGGTTTCCTATACCAAGATGTTATGAGCGAG